AGAGAGAGAGAGAGAGAGAGAGAGAGAGAGAGAGAGAGAGAGAGAGAGAGAGCGTGTTTAGTCGATGACGTTCTATCGAGCGTGTCATATATTTTTCTCTCTGTTTTTCTCTCTCTTTTTCTCTCTATCTTTCTATCGAATTTCCCAACCGAGGCTGTGTAAATAATCCTTGTACAGTTATATCGCACGGGGAAGACGATTATATCTCCTATGATGAAATTGATCGTCGTTGTCGATGTGTTCGGCCGGAAGATTCTGCGTCTGTAAATAATATATCTGTACCCCGTGGTTGTATGATTATTTGCTCACAATCCGTGTGCACATTGAAAGTACGTGATGTTCTTGCCGGTGCAAAATTCTACGCGTATGTGCCTAAGGGAAAGGACAATTGAAAAAATTAAACGTCGTGAACAGGTGTGTCGTTGTAATCGTGAAAAATATTTGCGTGATATTTGTAAAATTATTAGTGAGATCTCTTCCTTAGATGTGCGCGTAGATTTTTGCGGTTGATGACCTTTTCGTCACTCTGTGTTCTCTTTCTCTCTCTCTCTCTCTCTCTCTCTCTCTCTCTCTCTCTCTCTCTGTCAACGTCTTTTTCACTGTTGTGAGTTTTTGTCGTTGCACTTTAAAATCGCACAATCGTGCACCCTTTCGCTGTATTTTCTCGATGTGATTCTTCGATGTGTTTTCTGCAAGTCGTTGACGCGATTCTCCGTTTGCCGTTCTGTTGCTCTCTTTCTTTTTCTTGGTGTACATGTGCGTGTATGTGCGCGCGTTCTGTTCTGAAATTCGATGTTCCACGTGTGTCTCTTACGATTTATCATTTTTCGTCCACGCACTACTTGAGGCTTTTGATTTCCTCGACGGTTCTTTACGACGTTGTTCTCATGTGTCCCCCTAATGAGTCTCGATTATCGGTGAATTATTGACGTTTTGCATCATCCACGATTTATCAACGCTTTAATTTCGATAGTTACTCGGTTGCAATACTTTCAATCGATCATAATTGTGCGAGTACTCGCGACAAAGTATCCAGGTATGTCCGTAGATGTCTCGGTATTCTCAATTTTTCAACTTGGCCAAGTTCAGGCGCGCTACCTCTGTGTTAGCCCACGTGCTTGTTCAACGACCCACGTGTAGTATCATTCCTTTCTGTCATAGCCGATCGAAGCCGTCGCGTTTTGCTAATCTCACCAACGCGATCAGTGGCACGCGAGTTGCAATTTTCGCGCGGCGTCGATGTGGCGATAAAAGCGACACGGTTATAACGCGGCGTCAAGAGGCGCGCTTAAAAGGGGCGCATTTCGCCACCCTCGTGATACCACGATTGTCAGATTAAGGCCGATTAGCATAAGCGTGACGGTGGTGCACGCACACAAGGTCATTCAACTGTCGCTCTCCGACTATTTGTCTCGCGAGGGAAGAGACGGTAGGAGGAAGCGCAGAAGGAATGACGTGTTGGCGAGGTTCCAGGATGTACGGTTGCATCGTGCCGTTTAATATCTTCGTTTCTGGCCGGCTAGGTTCTCCGGCTAGGTTCTTACTGCGCGCGCGTTCCATTTCCGCCCTCATTGTCGTCGGCGAAAGGTGAGAACAATAGCTCCCCTGTAAGTGTTTTAAGCACGCCCACGTCCATATTTTCGCTCTTTTCCGCCGAAGCTTCGCAAGACCGTCGAGAGCGCGCGATCGCGTCTGATTGAAATACGAATATTTTTGCCTGCGACCGACTGCTCGTCGATCGTCCGCGTCTGCTTCGAGTCGTTCGCCCGTGATTGGGAAATTGACCGTCATCCTTGTGGAGGATTGATATTCAATACACACATGCGGCAATCGTGCATTACGCGACATGTCGTTCACGTTGGCGGTTCGATCGGTCCACTGAAGAGGCCGAGAGTCGCTCGGAGAACGCGAGCTCCTCATTGAAATCAGAGAAGTCGTAGTCGTAGTCCGTCCGATATTGCTTCAGCAACGATATTAGTCCAGTCGTTAATACGGTTTCAAAGTTTGTAGTTTTGAAGTGTCAGAGACACGTTACAAAACTCTCGATATTCTCTAGTTTTACTTTTACTCCAGCTCCACAGTTATCCTTTCAGCTCGCGCAAATTTTCGCATCACAGAGACACTCTCTCCAGCGAGTATTCACTTTTATCACATGGCGCGCGCGCGCGCGCGCGCGCGATGAAAAGGGGTGATGCAGGCAACGTAAATTCCATTTGGAGCTTTTACGCTCTTCGCGTCGATGATTTCATTTTCAAACCGGACTGCGACTAACGTACGACATGAGACAGGGTGGAGAGGGGGATGAAACTCTAACGAAGATACTCAGGTGTGTCTAGGTGTTTGTGCGCGTCAGATGCATTCGTAGGACCGTGACAAAGGTCTGGTCCTTTACGGGAAATAACGGTAAAGTATTCTCGGGGAAGACGAGCTGAAGTCCGGGCCGTGAAAGAGAACGAAACGGGATAGACTGAGAGCCGGAGGAAAGGAAGACAAGTGCAGGGAACTGGCGTGGAAATTAATTAAACGGTCGAGTCCGGAAGAAAAGCTTGGGAAACGGAAGCGAGAAACTCGACGTTGCGCAAAAGGTTCTTTGTGCATCGTGAAAAAGAACTCCCCGCGCCAACGAGAAGTCACCAAGGCGGTGGTGGGTGGCGTGAAATGAAATTTTGCGGCTGTCGATTCGAAGGATTTAGTTTGGCGTGAGCGAACTCTTGCGAAATCTCATGGGCTCGCGAAAAGAGACACTTTTCTTCGCGTTTTTCCTCCATCTCTCCTTCTTTCCGCTCATCCTTCCTTCCTCGTGAGAGACCATTTGTCGCGACGAGAACTCCATTGGCCGATATATTGCGGGATCTGAGGATTTCCCGACTCGCGCGCGCACGAAGAATATATATATATATATATATATATATATATATATATATATATATATAACATTTGATTAATAATAAACCATTCATTTACTCGAAATCTCAGTTGTATGACAGATAATAGATACTCCTTGCTTGAGAATCATGAGATACGACGATCCACGGATTATCGTTCTCTTGATGATTAAACTGGTCTCGAAGGTTAGTGGTAAATTTCGTACGTCGCTTGTGTGTGTATTGTGTATGTGTGTCTGTGTATGTGTGTGTGAGTGATGTATAATTTAACGTTTACGTGCGATTTGATCGCGCACGCGCAATCGAAACTCGATAGACTCCAACGTTGATTAGATATTCGCAGCTAACGCTGCATTTTGCCGCTGACGTCCTCTCGGGTGCTTTGAGTGAAAGCCTTTCCTGCACCGAGGTCTAAGAATAACACCGCTATTGACCATATAGG